AAAACCATGTGACCCCCCCGAAAAAAAAACCTGCCACCCTTTCAGGCTGTCCATTCCTGATAGAAAGAAGTCTGTTCTTCATTCGAAATTAAAAAATTTTGAGCCTGGTTTTCACCATAGCATAGACACAAACACATTAACGCTTGCCAGGACACGCACATCACAAGCATTGACACAAGCGTAAATAGGACAGCATCGGGGCGAAAAGCAGCTCTTACAGCTGTTTCTCTACTATTTTGCATTGCGCACTCAGTTACGCAACAAAGTGATCTGCTACTGAAGACCCAATAAAGGGAATCAAACGATGCTTTTTTAGCCAAATCGAGAACATCTGGGCATAGCTATTCGTATCTTTCAATCTTTCAGTTATTTCCTTCAAGTGTTATCACTTTAAAAGCGAAATGCACAGTAATAATGTCGTGTGCGCGTGAGGGAGTTAATGAGTGAACGGACACACAGATGAACAATAAATGAATAAATGATGAAATGAATCAATTAGACTAGTGCCAGGCAATTGCACTTACCTGAGTCTTCGACGTCACTTCTGTTTTGTCTCTGGTGACTTTTATCAAAGCACCGATGGTCTGTTGAGCCAGGGATGTATCCTTTATATCAACTTCCGCCAGTTTATTGACCAGCTTCGATTTTTTCTGAAAGAAAGGAACAAAATTATCAAGACATCACTATAGAAACTTGGAATAGGTACGTGACGTGAAACGAGCACTTTCCACCGTAGATTGCGTGATGGGGACTGTGTCTGGATAACAGGCTACCACCAGTTGCAGCCTGTGCGCTGTCCCATTTACGGCTCAATGTTCCAAAGGACAAGAACCTAGAATCCTCCCCATTCCCCCAAGACTACCTTTCCCTTTTCCCAAGTGATTAATAGTGGAACGACCTCCCTTTCTCTACTGACAATGTATCATCTCAAATCCCCTTCAAAAAAACACTTTACATGTAGAACGATTCTTAGCTCAGCACTAACCTGACTTGATTGCAGTGATAGTGTATGAATCTGGGGTTGTGCTTGTGTGTGATGTTCTGTTGTTGTTTTTTATGAAAATATGAGAGCTTTCAAGTTAATGAGTTTGAACTGTACCGTAGACTTCCCTATTCCTGCTCTGCCAGCGTACGTACTGTACTTCCTAATGTGCGTCATCAACACTTACCTCTTTTTAATAACAATGGCAAACTTGTTCCAAGAAATAAGGAGATAAAAAAGTAATCCGAGAAAACACAATGATTTTACGGCAATTTCTATTTCTCTCCTTGTGATATTTTCCTACTTTCTGACTGGCTGTTCTGATAACTTTGGTATTGGGTGAATGAAACTACATTGGGACACCTTCTAAATGCGTTAAATACCTTAGTTTGCTTTTCTTTATTTGCAGTATTGGATTTGTTGCCTTGATCTATGATGGATACCAGAGAGTTTACTACTTGGACGACCTTTTTAGGGTCTTTCTTGGCATCCACTTCCTCCACGTCTTCAATAGCTTTGTTTACTTGTCCCGCATCTGGTTCTTTCACCTAGGAGAAAAATCAGTTTTTAAATGTTTATATTTTGCATGATCACAAGGTCATAGGTCGAAATACCGTTTAAGTTTTATTTTTTAAGGCTTGATTTGACGCAAAAAGCAATCCAGTACTGAAGAGCTATTAACTAAAGTAGACTTTTGTTTCCTCTTCTAACAACTCTAAGAGATCTACGTTATGACATTTCAGGTCATTTTTTGGGCTATTCAAACCACTTTAAACCTGAAACAGATTACGAAATGATCGGTACCACGATACAGCAAAAGAAAAATGAGATAATAGTAACCTTGGAAAGAAAAAGGTTGGCCAATGATGGAGAATATCAAAATTAGGTGCAAATGACGCACTTAAAAAAAAACAGTGTGAGGTTTAGAAGACCACAAAACCGTGACGTGGTACCGAAAGGAGATTTGAATCCTCGAGCAAGGTTCACAGATGTTTTTAACTCTAGCAGCTTACTGTAATGACTTCCATTTTGAATTTTTACTCACCATGGCGTTTAGTGAAAAATTGGCACAGCACTGATACTTGTTGCAAATACGTGCAGATAACTGGAACTGGAATCCATTCTTTGGATCTCCGATAGGTAACACTCTCGATGGAGTAGATCTCTCCCCAAAGTACCAAAGCTGATATGTGTGCGCTGATGTGTGTGATAATGTATCAATCTTAGCTAAGTTGTCTATCTTGGTTTTGTAGCGAAACTCGTACGAGATTGGGTTGTCTGTGGTTGTCCAGTCTTCACAGTTTATGTTGAACAGGGTTTCCGCCGCAATACCCTTTTGTGGACTGAAGTAAAAGTTTCAAATACAAATGTTAATGTTATTTGTTTTTCAGTAGTTTTCTAAATATATTCTTTATAACCAGGGGCGTAGCCAGGATTTTTCAANTAACAGTGACAAAAACAACAACAATAACAGTAACGATAACGATAACAATAACGCTAACGATAACGATAACAATAACGCTAACGATAACATAGAATGACAACGATAACGCTAACGATAATGACAACGGTATAAAAAAATGACAACCGTACGTAACGACAATGACAGCGACAAAGACAACGAAGATGATAACGACGATGACGAAGACGATGAAAACTACGAAAATGATAACCGATAACGACAAAGACAACGATAACGATAACAAAAACAACAACGACAATGACAACGATAACCACGAAAACGAAAACGACGAGAACGAAAACCATAACGACAAATACGAAGACAACAATAACGATAACGGTAGCGCTTACGGTAACGATAACGATAGTGATACCGAAAAAGACTGTACTAAAAATACAACAGTTATGATAATAACAGTTTTATCTTTTAAAAACTTGTATTCTTTTCAGGTACTCACGAAACTTGGCACAATCCTCCGCTGGGTCGGGAAGTTGTCTGAAAGGTATACTCTACACGTGCGCTTTTGTTAGCCCGGCTGCCTTGAAGCCGTGCAATGTATTTTTCGTTTTCTTTCAAGGAGCTTTCCTTCAAAACCAGATTAATGTCATTCCACCCGAGATCCGAGTCTGTTACATTGTCGTTTCCTGATAGTTCGTGTTCACTACCATTTTAGTACAGCACTTTCCAAGTTGTTTAATCCATTCGTTCGTAACTCTTGCAGTTTGTGCATATTCCCTCGAGGGTGATACGTTCGAAAGGGTTTAGCTTTTCTTGACAATCGCGGCAGCTGAAAAAGAACAGTGTGTAAGACGATGTTCTATTAGAACCTCGCCAAATGGAACACGGTCATTTCTCTTGAGGTACATGTGCGCGTTTTTCGCCATTAATCTCTGGAGCTCTTTGTGGTCTCAAACTGTTTTCCTTTCGTTTAGTAACGGATTTAGAGGAGTCTGAACGAGCAAAATGTCCATCTGTGTAACCCTTCAAATGCGAAGATCTCACAAATAATTCTTTCTGTCAGCCGCTTTACATCTCGCTGTAGCTAAATAAATTCTTGTCATCTAATACACTTCCTCATCACCTCTTTAGTAAAGAAGTTACAAGTTCATCGCATCTGAGAATTTCATAGTTAAAAACCATTCGAAAGTGCAGGCGATTTTCGCACGATTTTACCGACAGTTTAAGTCGGGATTTAGGCGTGATTTTAAATTACACAAAGACGTCGTAAGTGATTTCGAATTTCAATTCCTCGACTGAATAATTACAAAAATAGCGAGTTGCAGCATAACACCCTCATATTTCTGCAATGCCTCTGAATTCAAGTGCTCAAAACTTTTCGCCAGTCAATAGTTTACCATTGACCATGAAAATGGCCGGGTACCAACCACAACAGCAAGCTACTTCAGTTGTCGCGGAAAGGATTCCAAATTGATTTTTCTGAGGGAAGAAAATCTTAAATTCAACTGAAAAGAACAACTAACCTTATTTCCAGTTGTGGAATGTAGGGCTCCAGCATCACTATTTGTTGTGCAGAGGATGAACGCGTATCATCTTTCGCAGTTACTGTCACCTGAAAAGTGTATTCCATACTCGTCTTAAACTTGCTGGTAGGCAATTGTATGTTTTTATTGCCTTGTTGGTCAGACATTTCCAAAAACTCTGTTGAATTGCAAAGTTCACCTGGAAGTGTCGGTAAAGAGTTATTCTCGACTTTACACTGCCATGTGAAATTTAACTTTGCATTTTCATCATCTGGATCGAAAGACTGAGAGGCATTCAATTTCAGGTGAGTCAAATTCGAATCGGCTTGACGAAAACTCCCGCCGGATAGATATGCCACAAGCGGTGAGCTCTCCACCCGAATGGATGTGTTAAAGCGATATTTTTGACCATTGTAGCTTACGTTCAATGTGACAGTATAGTTTCCATTGTCTAGGCTCCTGGCTTCAAACACGAAAGATTCTTTCTTCTTGTTAGCTTCAGATACTGTTGGTGATGGAGTGATATCCCATGAATAAACAGGGTCATGCTTTGTTGGACATTCCTTCTTCGTTTCCACGCTAACTTTCAAAAAGTCGATCCTCGTGCCTCGAATGACAATTTGTGGATCTTGTTCAGTATACCTGTTTGGAAAATAAATGGCTGGCGGACCACATTCCGTGGCTATGACATGCACAAATTCTAGACGTGAGTATGCTCCCGCACTTGCGTTTATGGAGATGTTAAAGTCAGTCTCGGTGTCGTATGCGTGGGACCATTTTGTGTAACCCTTATCGGTAGTAACATAATGAGGAGCCGACTCGCCATATGTGAATGCGTAGTTCACCTCTTGCTCATTTGACACCGAGACTTCAATTTCAAACTTTTGTTTTGTGGAAACGCGAAGAACGTTGTCAACATTTGCCGCTGGGGACAGCTGTATGTTGATGTTACCAAGATCACTTACAACCGTCAGTGAGAACTTTAAAGTCGCTGCTAAAGATGATATGTTATTCTGCGCTTTGATCGTAATTTCATATGTTTTATATATGGTATGGCTGACAGGAAAAAAGAGAAAAATTGAGTTAGTAGTATTCGTTTATCGCAGAGATTTGCAGACTGAGCACAAAATCAGTCATTCAGGCAACAAAATGTGTGCGTCTTTTTTAGGTTGTATTTGCGAGACATTCGCGCATAAGTTCTTAAGAACAAGGTTCGGGGTAAGAATCTAAACACACAGTTTGTAAATGAGATCGCTTGAAGATAAAATCCAAACCGTCTAAACTCTAGACAAATTTTTCCTGCACAAAAAGCGTAAAATCGCCTTTCAACCTTATTTCGTGAGAAATTCTCCGGTTGGGTTTCCCGTCCTCTACGACTACTAATTATGGGGAGACGGGTGACATTTCAGACATGCTCTTGCACTTATTCACAAATTAGAATCCGCGCCATTACTCTTACAGCAGATACGGCTCGACTTTTTTCGCGGGTTAATTTTCCCGCCTTTTCCTGTGTTCCGATCATTATTCGAAATTCCCGCCTTTTTCATGAAGTTTACGTCATTAAAAATAAGAAAGTCAGAATTTACTGCCATACGCTTGGAATGAGATGCAAGTCATTTACTTGTGATTGCTCAAAACTCTTCTGTAAAAGCAAGGCATTTCTTGTAAGTCTATGAAAAAGCTTTGCCTTTTTTAAAACTGGCACTCCGTGCGGTTCTGTTCAAGAATTGCAAATAATAGGTTCTAAATAAACCGGTCAAGTTGCATGAAAAGGCCAATCAGAAATGTGTGTGGATTTTGAGTGTTCAATAGTGCGGGTTTTGGCTCAGAATAATTTTCATTCTTTCTGGTATTGACAATACGCGCAAGCGTACAACCAGCCCCTATTCACAATGACTTGACTTCCTATGGAGGTTTTGCACAGCAGCTATGTTGGATGGCAGGAACAATAGATTATTTCACCCCTGGGAAAATTTTTTCTTTCTTATGCAAAATATTTTCATTGTTCCTGCCATCCAACATGGATGCTGGGCAAAGCCTCTCTATCCCTATGTATCGGAAAAACCAGTCCTCTCAGCTTTAGACGATTAACAGAAACTACCCGCTGTGTTAATCTTTAAATTATTAACTTACTTGTGTGTAATGTTCACAACAGTATTCAAAGCAGAATTATAAAACTTATTATAAGGACGACCGTCTCCAAATTCTACGGTTAAAGTGACGTTTGTTCCAATGACGAGAACAGAAAAAGTGTATTGTACGCCAATTTGAATCTCGGTCGGGGGTTTCTCCCTCCAATCTACTGACGCTCGTTCGAGTATCCTAATAACTGAATTGGCGTCTGCCGAACTGATTGCATTATGGACGTGCAGTGTGACTGGGAAAACGCCTGCAAAGAAGAGGGAGCACAAAAAATCAGTGATTGACTCAAATAGATTTTACAGAAATTCTCCATTCTTGCATAAAGGAGTGAGTCTGTATGGTAAAAGGCACACCGTAAATGCAGGTGGGGTTCCTATAAACGCGATCTGTGATTTATTGTTAGAAATGTCTTGTTTTAAGGGAAAAAAAGGAATGTAACGGTACAGTAGGTGATGTACCGTAATACATCAAGAACTGTAATCATTAATATTGAAATGTTCCCACCCTCCATAGAAATAAAACATTTAACTGATGTTATTATCCTTTGTAACCATTTGTAAGATGCAGTGAGTTGTAGTGAAACATTTTGAAGTGTTGTCCTTGTGGCAACGGGCAAGGGACTGTGTTACGATAAAATGTATCTGTTCTTCCCTTTTAAGGCTATGTAGAACTCTTGTGACACTACCTCATTGGCAGTTGATTGGCAGTCAATTGTCTGCAGTCCCACCTTTATACTCTGTTAACGCCGACTGATCTCCCTCTGTTCCCTCAAAAACCGCGTGATCCCTCGAAAATCCTCCGCGCCTCCCCTCCCCCCCCTTAATGAATAATGGCGGACTTATCCCAAACAGCGACAACGATAACAGCAAAAATAAATAAACTGGCGGAATCCACTTGTAGCCTTACCAGTATAGTTGTATACTACTTTAGGGTATTCCAGGTAGTATGTTTCCCCGTCTGTGTTCCACGTGTAGTTTATGTCGCTTCCCTTGTCGACAGCGCTCTTTAAGGAAATGTTTTCTCCTTTGGGATAGCTCATGTTCGTCAGTGGACTGACAATCCTGAGGTCTCCTATACGCTCCTGGAAAAGAATAATAACCATGGATATAATCCTTGTCTTTGCAAAAGGTGGATAACTGATCACAATACAGTTACCAAGCATGCCTTGAATATTGATCAGACGCTGATGCACTTCCTGTCTATAGGAATGATGGTTACACCTCTGTTAGATCCTTCACTATTATAGCAATACATGGAAAATACTGTTACGAAAAATCTATAAAAAGTGCTTAGTCATGCAGCAAAATGTGAGAGCTTGGTGTTTTCGGCCAAAAAACCCGATCACATTTATTTCTTTTAAAGAATGGAAGCAATCGTACTCTACTGAGAAAAAAACTGTTTCAAGGCATAAAAGGAATTTCTCTTCCTACCCTTTTATGGGTGATGTGTTATTTTATCTTTTGACCTGCGATGTTAGACTTTCTGTTTTTAAAGGGGGGAAGAGTGTGTAAATTAGCGGCGCAACATCACTTTGGCTCGCGAATACCGAGATTAGCTAAGATAAATGGCGCACGGGACGTGATAGAAGAAAAACTCCCTCAACAGCTGATGCCGCGTGTGGCACCCCGTATGACGACAGGAGTGTCGTGGGAGCCCCGCCCTAGGTGGAAATCCATTGCCCAGGGCGTTCTCAAGGGCTATTGCGAGTTTCGACCCTTAAGTTAATATCATCAATTATGGTAATAGGAATGAGTAGAGTCCAATTCGGTATGTAATAATTCTAGTGATTAGCAAAATTGGACGAGTCCGATCTGTCTTTTATAGGTATTATTACAGATCGAATTCGACCACACAAAGTCCTGTTATCAATAAATCATGAACATGACAATTTCCGAGAAAAAAACTGTGGAAATAAGTCAAAATTGGCTATGGGAAAAATATCTCTGGTAGAGACATTTTCTAGAGTAAAAAATCCTCCATTTAGGAAACTTGGTTCTTACTTTGGTTATTGGAATCAATTCTGCAATTGTTCGATTTAGCTGAGTGGACCTAGTATGATTGGCTGCTTTAACTGTCCGATTACAGGTGTCCGATTACAGCCGACTCTCCGATTACAACTTTACAGAATAATAAGTGAAAATAAAGCAGCGAATGCTCCAGTTATATTTGAGGAAACTGTAATGGTTAGGATTAGACATTGTTATCATGTAATCATTAAAATGTAAGACAGTACCTGCACGGTAAATGGACAATTCCTCAGTTCACTTCCAGCTTCATTTTCCAAAGTAACTGATACATTGTAAACTCCTGCTTCTTTAAATTCCACGGCAATCGCTGCCTGTGAGGGTTGAGAGACGTGAGCCCGCAGAACGTGTTTGATTTCGTACCGAGTGGCGCGACCTGCTGTCAAACCGCTTCCCACTGCAAAACTGGACGATAAATTAGGAAAGAAGAACGATGGGTCATTGATCGTTTTTTCAAAGGCCAGCGCCCCAGAAGAGCCGTTTCCCAGCCAGCCTATGACGTCACCAGCTTTCGCTTTTATGGATTTGTGGGAAGGAAGAGTGATAAGATTTTTGCCGAGTTTTGTGATGTTCACCAAAGTTTCTGCAATTGAAAAAGAAAGAAGAAACAAAAACATTTCGTCAGATTTTGTTTGCTCTGTTGGTTGGTCACCGTTACCCGTAAAACGTTGCGCTTTAATGCGTTTGTAATCTATGGGTAAGAAGTAAAAATAAGGTGCTAAAATCGTCTGGTTATCATTAGGCCTCTTTCATATTGTTCTCGTAAAATCCAGTAGTTATCTAACCCGTCACGCTCAATCCTGAACGCCTACATCATTCTTTACTTAAGTGTCACGCAAATCTCGACGCAAGTAGTTTCATCCAGTCATGTGAGATAAAATAGTCAAAAATCTACCTGCTGCGACGACGTAGTCGGTCACAGGAGACGAAATAGCCGGAAATGATTTTATCTGTCTTTGACAAGTAGACAAGCAGTGACCAGTCCCCATGCAGATGCTCTTGTTCCCAGGACAACTGAACAGACTGGAGCTGACACAGGAGTCTCCTTTGGGTATACAGGAATAATTTTTTGCGCAGAAATAGCCGTCGAGCGAGGAACAGTTGGGGCGGTAAACCTGGGAAAAAGTGTTACTTTAGCACAATAATCGTTTAAAATTTACCGATTGAAGTCAAAGTCTAATAAGTCGCGCAATTCGCACAAGTCGCATTCGAGGACCAAAAAATTTCAGCATGTTATGCCCCCCTTGAGTCAAAACACAAAAATTACTCTCTGCGAGAACTTTGTTAAGTGCCCTTTCCTATCCCGTCACCCCCTGAGCTTGCGGCAAGGCTAATCTCTCTCACTTTAAAAGAGTAATGTCCCGGTTAGTCTAACCTGAAAATTTTGGCTAAATCTCTCAGGTTTGACGTCTACAATTCGTTTCAATCTTTTCCATCTTAAACCACCCTGACTTCTTTTTGATCCTACTACTGCTTCTTTGGTCTTTTCCTTCTTATAAGACTCAAATTAATATTTAAAATCTCTATTCTGAGCAAAATAAGCGGTGAATTCTTAAACTCAACGCTCAGAGGTTTTCGAATGTATCACGCCGTGAGGTGTAAGAACTACTGACCTGTAACCGAATGGGTCCAAGTTTGGAGGCGAAGAATTCCCAAGCTAGTACAAAGCCTTCTTTCTTCAGCGCAGCAGATGGGATCACATATGCTCCGTCCGTTTCTGGGGAGTTGCTGGAATTTCCAAATGTTGCAGAAGAACCTATATCGTGGACTAATGCGTCTAAGAAAAAAAACCATCACATTTGATAATGGATAACCAGAAATAACTAAGAGCCTCTGGTTACAGGTAACTGCGCGATGGCCTAACATACTAGCCACGAGGGTGAAAGGGTGGGGTTAGCAATTCTGGCAATTCTCCTATTTGCTCGTAACTTCCGAAACGAATAAACTGCGACTTACTTACCCGATACGTTCAACGACTTTCTGTTCTTCCAGTCTTTCTGTTGTGTTGTCTTCAATTTAGCTGTCATCCACGTGCCTTGGCTGACACTTAACACAATTTCAGTCTCGTTTCCCACCTCAAGAATCTCTTGGGGGTAGTCTAAGTTTAGATTGCCCGTTGGACTTTGAATGAACACCCACGTGGACGCCAGTACCGGGCCTGACTCGTTTGTCCTCGCAGATGCCCTCACGTGGAACTCACCCACGCGCGTGTAAACGTGCGTGGCATTAGGACACGTGGTCAACACGTAGGAACCGTCGCCAAAATCAAAAGTGTAGGACAGATTGCTGAGCTCGCCTAAAAAAAAAGAGAAAAACTTAAGACCTCAAACCTGGAAACTTAAAAGGAAATTGTATAGACTATGCGAGGAATGTTTGTTAAGCGAATTTAAGGTCACGCTATAGAAAACCTTAATGTCACGTTAGATCCTATGGTCACGCCAACTAAAATAACCTTCCTGGAGAGGCTGTTATGCATTAAATAAATTATTTCAAATTGAAAAAGACCTGAATTCGTTGAGTGGGTGTACACAGAAGTTGTATCAATTCTAGCATTCCTGTGATCATTATGCAGTGGTGATTGTTAACAATGTCACAGGATTCGTAATGTTTGAGGTTTGAAGTTTGAAGTTTATTTATTCATAAATACATAGCAGTTAAAAAAAAAAACTGAATTGCGTACTTACTCACTTAATACAGCGGGTGGATAGTAAAATTAAACTAATTTAGATATTAGGTACTTAGTTATTAAAAGGCGTTCAGTCGGCTTAAAAAAGGGAAAGCTAAGATGAGTTCACTTTAAGACATGGGGAAATAATAAAACTATTCTCAAAACGGCTGGTTTTGAAGCGTTGTACATTAAAAGGTCGCGCACGGCCTAACAAGTAGGTAGTTTCATGCGCTGCTGGTATTAACTTTTGAAGACGGTGATTGTTGTCATTTACAATTTGGTCGAAAGTGACTCACATATTTCGTCGTGATGGATAGCTAATTCCTTAAATTTCATAATATCCAGGGCCTCATGATAGCTATGACCAGGACAGATAATGGACATTGCTCTCTTCTGTACGTGTTCTAATTCTCGCATTATATATTTAGACAAACTATAGTGAAAAACCGGTACTGCATAGTCCATGATTGATCTAATACAACTAGAATAAAAGAGCCCTAGATCAGTACGAGCAACTTTGGCTCTCTTAAGTTGAATCAAGAAATATAATCTCTTAGGGCCTAATTACACGAGCCGGGCTGGTCCGGTTAGCCGGGCTGCCTTGGTGTGCCGAGATGACATTCAGCCCGGTATTACATGAGGCGAGCCAGCCCGGTTGATGACTGGGGTGATGAACCGCGGGAGACCGGAGTGAGCTTTGATTTTTTGATCCTCTCCAGTATCTTTACCATTACATCATAGAACTCCATTACCAACTTTCCAGAACCACTTCTAGATCCCATTGTCACAGCATTACTAAATTTTTTTCCGCAATTCTTCTATCTTTTCCATCACCCTAGAACAACCTTTCTTGATGAGCGCTTTCTCTGACTTGACTTTTTTCACCAACTCTTTCCTCTGAGACTCCTAAACATCTTCGGGAATGGCAGCAGTTTCTTCTGGCCCAAACAAGTCAACATCGCCTGAAGAATACTTCGTCACTCTCGCCTTTCTCACTGCTTCATATTGCTTGTTTTTATCAGCGTTGAAGTCCACGTTGCGATACTCCATATTAGCTTTGAATTCACCGAGCGCGCGAAGAAGGTCGTCCACCATTCCAAAATCGTCCACTTAATTTTCGTGGCCGCCATGTTTGCATGAAATTGAGACCATTGCCCATAAGCATTGTATTATCCGTTGAACTCTTGCTGGCTTAATGAGCCGGGTTGACCCGGCTAAACGCGATTATATGGGAAAATTTCAGCCCGGTTAGCCGGGATCCCGGCACCGCGATACTGGGATCTCGGCTTACCGGGCTGGCTCGGTTGTCATATAATCGCGAGGTTGATTTTTGTTGCGTTTGACGAACGTGCCGAAATCCTGGCAAACTGACACCAGCCCGACTAACCGAGCTAGCCCGGCTCATGTAATCAGGCCCTTAGAGGCTTTTTTAACAATTTCATTAACATGGGTATTCCAGGTCAAATTACTGGAGATATTAAGACCCAAAAGCTTTACATTTTCTACCACTTCTAAAGCATCGCCATTGATGAGAATGGGCTCAAATTCTTGCTGGAACTTTGAAAAGGATATTCGCACTCTCTTTACACTTTTCATTGTTTAATTGGACTCTATTTTCCAGGGACCATTGTATTAGTCTATCTGTATGACGCTGTGCGTTACTAAGCTCCCCTTTTGCAACCGTCTCGGAGATGGTGGTGTCATCTACATATTTCCATAAGCGAGCATTTTTCGACTACTAGATCGTTCATAATAATCAAGAAAAGCCAAGGCCCTAGTTTGGTTCCCTGGGGGACGCCCGATGGTACTGATCCCCACTCAGATGCACATCCCTCACCAAGTTTGATTCTTTGAGATCTGTCTGACAAAAAGTCAATAACCCAATTAATTACGCTATTTGGCACGTTTAACTTACATAATTTTTTATAAGGATGCTATGGTCAATTAAATCAAAGGCCTTATGATAATCGAACAAAATAGTTCTTATAGTAGCACCATTCCCGTCGGTGCCCTCAGACCAAACATGAAGCATGTCCGATAAAGCGAAGGTGTTGGAAGACCTTGATACCGTGCCATACTGATTCATATCGAGATTAACAAGAACGGCAGGTATGATGTAATGCCGTACTACGAACTCCTCTGCCACCTTCGAGATATATGGAGTGAGTGAGGTGGGTCTAAGATCTTTCTTTAGGATTTGCACGGGTTTTTTCTTAGGAAGCGGGGTTACATCAGCCAATTTCCACGAAAGAGGTAGGCGTTGCTCTTTAAACGATACGTTGAGAATTTTACATACAGGAAAGCAATAACATTGGCGTATTCACCCAGAAACCAATTAGGAATCCTGTCAGGACCACATGATTTAAATGGATTAAGTTTTGATAGTGTTGTCCAAACTCGTTCTTCGGATACTTCTAGGAACTCCGGGAGATTTTTTTCTAGTGCCAAACGAGTAATGGGGCACAACTGACAATACTCTTGAAGAGGCTCGAGGAATGCTTTATTTATGGAGTTCGCCAATTCATGTGTGGGTAAGTTCTCAACTTCCTAAACGTTTATATGATTGATGAGATCGCCTGAGAAAATTTTTCGCCGCTTAAACGTTTCATCTCTTTCCACCAAGCTTTGGGGTCTTCCTTCTTCATATACGCCACGCGTGCGACCTCGTTCCCAGGGCCTTTTCCCTTAGTTGGGGGTGTGGCCGCGCTTTGTTTCTGAGACGGACTTATCTTTGCCAGATACTGCGTTCATAATCTCGACAAGATAAGGGTGGCTCGTCTTCAATTCGACCCAAGCTTTATTGAAATCGAAATTGTTCATGCTCTCAAATTCATTTGCATATAAAACGGAACCTTGCGAACGTTTGCACAGCTTTGCACACGATGTTTTCAACTCCTCACTGATGGTCTTTTTTAACTCCTCCACAACACTTGGACTGTGATCTTTCAAGGTAGCCGTCAACACAGTTGCATCCTTGTTCCCGACAGCTTGAAGAATCATTTTCTGCTGTCTTTCAGTCAATAACGATTGAGCTTCAAATGAGGTGCAATCATTATCTCCTATTGATTTAGGCCTTAGAACAGCTGGCCGAGTTGAAAAAAACGGCTGCCCTTCAGAACTTGGTGTGGTTAACCTCGACGACTGATCCACCGGAGTGGCTGCACAATCATGTCCTGTAGACTTGGCAATAACACTAGCATCTTGGGAAGTTGAGAAAAACGGTTGTTCTGCAAAAATTGATGTTGTTCGCTTCGCCTGAACCATAGAAGTTCTTTTGCAGCTATCTCCTGATGATATAGGTGTTAAAACAGTCGGATCTTGGGAAGTTGAGAAGGAAAGCTGCTTTGCAGATCTTTTTGGTATGATTCGCTTCGACAGCTCATCCGCTGAAGTGACGCATGAGCTTTCGCATGGCAAATTTTTTGATACACGTTTCAACGGCTGAAGCGAAGAAGGCGAGAGTTGTACACATCTCTTTACAGCATATTCAGAACTTTGATCGGACGACATATTGTCCATGGATTGAGCTCATTGAATAAATTGTTCAATCTTGTTTATGAATGTAACGCAACTCCGACATGCGATCTTTCATCTCGTACCGTCCTCAAAAATAGTTATACCACAGGTTTTATGGACTTTAGCACACAGATCTTTTGATGAACCAGCTTTGCTAAATTTTCGAAGCATATGACGACTCTCGTGAGAATCACCGCAGAGTTTGCAAACCGGATTTCTAGGAGAAATCTTTGCCGGTGTAGGCATACTTTCCGCCATTATGACTTCGAAATAATACATACATTATTTTTTAATGGCCAAGTTTTACATCAATTATTTAAATAAATCAACCAATCAAAATGTTGATCTGACCGGCCGATGCCAGGTCCTTTTCCCGCCCCACCCCCAACTAAGGGAAAAGGCCCCTGGAACGAGGTTGAGCTGAGACAGATACAGTATTGTGGTCAGATAGACCAAAGGGTGGAAATATTTGTGGTTTATCGCAGTGATCTTGCAAATTAGTTTGCACTAAGTCCAGGATGGCATCCTTTCTCGTTGGTGTTTTCACAATTTGTTTAAGTTGAAAGTGACTTTTAAGCCGTGTAATGTAACCTTTAGTTTCCACAAACCTTTTTTCCTAAAATCGTCCAATAAATTAAAATTAAGTGTGACAGCCAATAGCGTCCTTTGCATCTGTCGTTTAAGTTTGTCACGTACCACGACCTCTTAGAGAAGAGAGGAAGAATGCGTGACAATCCATAACAATAGGTGCAAAAAGCAGCTGCAACAGCAGGAAAATTAGCCATCAATAGATATGCTAAATGAAATCAGTGAGACTGAAAACTTGCCAAAAAATGAGACAGACCTCATTCTTTTTCGTTACCTTCTCCAATAACAGTCGAAAAACTGACTTCACGAAACATCCATCCGACTCCTGGACCGTGAAGTTTGAGTTTACCTATCGCACCTTGGGTTGAATACACTCGCACGTATGATGTATTATCACATGATTGGGCTGAACACGGGACGTCACACTGGCTGTCACTAGTGGCCTTGCCATACACGTCATGCCAACCGTTGGTACAAAAGCACAGGTTTCCCTCGGTGGCTGCGTGGGACTGGTTCAAGTAAGCGCAGGAGGAGGTGCACTCTTGAGCAGAAGTGTCGGACACGATGTAGTTTCCGGCCGAAATGTTGATTAAGCGGTCTGCAATATTTTCTTTGTAACATCCCAAGTACCAGCCTAAAAAAACGAAAAAGATATCATTATCCCTTTTAACTCCCAAGATCTGATTGTCAATTCTCCCCTCGACCTACTAGAAATTTCTTTGTAAATTAGTAACAAGAATTTGGTTTCAGATCAAGGTAACAACTCCGAATTCAATAATAAATAATAAATAAATAAATAAATAAACAGTTTTTAACGTGGAGAAACACTTAGCTAGAAGCTAGTTTACAGGTTTTCCTCCAAACAACTAAAACAAATATTTCAAATTGAAAATAACATTATTAAGAATCCGGACCGGCCGAAGGCAAACCAGTTGGCTATATTACAAGCATGGCCGAGGATTTGAAACTCGGGGCTACCGTGAAAAAAATCCAGGGAGTGGCCAGGGCGGGACTTGAACCCGGGAGCGGCGGATCGCAAGTCCGACACGCTGACCACTCGACCACGCTGCCTTCTCCGATAACTTTGAGTAATCTCATTACATGTTTGCTGTGTAATGTATGGATATTACAGGGAGAGGTTACATGTTGATCACTACTGGGAGTTGTAACGTTGACGCGAAAAAGAGCTTTCTGAATTCCTCGATCAGCCAGGAATCAGAAACATCCCTAACCCTGTACACCCTAATATCAACATCTATATTCTCCATACTGTTCTCTATACGTTTCTTTGGGTGCGGACAAGGAGAATTTGTTCAACAATCAAGAGCTTGTTTAGTTGATGATCAATTCATTTTTTCTGTTGACCTCAATGTGTGATTCTGAGGTGATATTGTAAGGAGAATTTAGATGTTAGTCACTCTTAGAGGTCTAAGGGTTAAAAGAGAAAACAAACAAAAAATAAATAAATGAAAAAGTGACGCATGTCCCTGTAAGAGGCCAGCGAAATCTCAGTCAAAACAGTTAACTGTTGAAATCGCAGAAAAACGCCTTGAATGAGTCCCAGTAGGTTTGTGTTTCAATCTGATTGGTTGAGAGAGTGGCACGTGCTCTTTAGGCCAGTCACAGTACGAAGAAAGGCATGCAAGGCCGATGCAAAGCCGAACCGTCGGACACTCACTCGGATGTTTCTTCGTAATAGAGTTTCTTCGTCTGTAGAAACGTATTACAGAAGGGCTGACAAAGCAACAGCTAAAACTTCTGAAAAGACCATCATTAAAGAATTAATTAAGCCGGTGGGTGTTTTTTCCATTCTATCCTGAGACGGGTATAAAGTTCCGTTATTAGTCGTTATTAGTCCAGCTCCGCAGATATTATGTCGATATAACGGCTCCCCGCTCCTCGTAGCTTTCAATTATTTTCAGTTATTAACTATGTAGAATTTTCGCTAACTCTACCGTGTTCAAACGCGCTTTTTAGAGTGCTGTTATCATATTCCGTAAACAGTATTTTTCACAGAACATTTTCAAAGGCGGATCTCATAGTAATGGCGAAAAACCAAATACTACACACCCGGTAAAAAAAAGGAAATTGTTAATATCTGTGGGGTAAAGTGGTTGCAGAATTAAGGCCCATGTAGTTTTTCGTTTATATCGGACAAAATGAGTATGGAAACTACTAAGCTCTTGCTTAAAGTATTTATCGGTAGATTAATTGCCTTTGTTGCGAAAAAACGTTAGAGCTGAACTCGAGTCCCATCTCTCTTGAAACAGATGTCCAAGATCTGTGAAAGCCGAAAGCCGCTATTGCTTGAAAATATCTCTTACGTGCTATTAAGAAAGAAAACAACAAAATGAAAAAATTTTGAATGCCTCAACAGCAGTACTCTTGACCGCGAAAAGCTGATGAAAATCGAATGCAAAACTCATTATCAAACGATGAATAACAAAATGAGAAAATCAACAACGCGTGGGCACTGCACAGAGACAATTACTTAGTCTCCTAAAATATAATCATTGAAAAAACGCTCTACCGAATCCATATTGTGGAATACACGGCGATATATTAGGCTAGATTGGCTCAAACGAAAAAACCTCAGACCATAGAAACACTCGGAAAACTTCTTGTTGATAGACTATTGCAGTTTGATGGGAAAGAATTAATAAATCGATGAGATCGAAGTAATGTGTTTTTTATACGTTTTGTTTTATATGATGTCAATGGTTTAAAACATTTAATGATTTTACTAGTTGCCAACCATCTAAGAATCCACAGAGCGACAAACAACTAAACTTGTTTATATTTCATAACAAAAATCACCTTTTTCAAAGCTAATTTTTGATAGATTGAAATATTATCTGTTTGATGGAGATCACAACTTCGTTAAGCCAGAGACGTGTTTGGTTTTTGCCTTTCTCTTTGCCTTTGAAAGGAAAAATGGGACAAAACCACGTCCCTTTATTAAGTTTTTATCCTGTGCACGCGATGTCGACAGGAAGCCATATGTGGTATGTATGATCATTCATTTTCGCGTATTAAGTCATAAAGCATTCAGTGCGTTATGACACTGGGATATAAATTTGTTGTTAAACATCTGCTCGCTAACTCTCTTGATATCGAATATATTCCAGCAATTGGTTGAGGAAAATAACAGATATCCTGGCTGCCAATAGTTATCATGTTAAAAATAGCATTGACGAATTAACTTCAGCTTGAGAAAGCCGGGTTTGCCAATTACGAGCTTTCGAACATATTTACCGGTACGGTTAATTGATCCATAAATGTTTTCCTGGGGCTTGATGTGCAATTTGAATAAACATATGGGATGTTTTAATAACCAAACACCTTTCCTTTGCGACTCTCTACAATAATCATACACGGTCTTGTTTTTGACAACCTTCCAATCACTACGAAAAATATGCCTGTAATCCAGGACACACTCAGCACAACGGAAAATGTTGCCTTTATTTCAAGTTTTCAGTCATTGATGACATATATAACAATATACAGCATCGCTTTTTAACAGTAAATTTGTGATAATAAAGTTAGATTCAGGTTTTAATGTCAGTGATAATTAGACGGGCAACCTGAGGTCTAAGGAAGTTTGTCGACCCCATAAGCGCGAAGCTTTAAACACTTATCGTGTTGAAATAAAGTTGATGCTAAGTTATGTCGAAGTCGATTCCTTCAAGTTTATTCCAGATCATCAAATCTTAACGATGGCGACGAGATGCCTTAAATAATTTAACCACAAAAATACAAACCGATTTAAATATCAGCCATACAAACGATGTTTACATTAGGTTCTTTCAGGTCGTATTTGCAAATAAATAGTCTCGTTTCGTAGTTTTTGTTGAATTTGAAACGTTGTTTTCATCAAATTGCCTTCATGGGGTTTTTAGCAGGCATTTAAAAATTTCAAGAAAACTTCAAGCAAATTGTTGGCTCAACAAGACTTCAGTTTCTGTTATTCTTAAACAAAACTTCTTGGATCCTTTACAGATATATGGAAAGTAAAATCGGAATTTATAACGAAAAATGGATTAATAGCTTAAACATTGGTTCTCATTTTGGGAAAGATCTTTACCAAAATGAACTGTGAGCAGCTTTTTAAAGAAAAAAAAAAGGGAAAAAGTAGACCCTCAGGTGATGTTTGCATGGCACGATTTATCACACTAATCACTTTGCAATTGTTTTTATTGCTAGGAAACAGTAACTAAAACGTTGAAAAAACTAACAAACTCAAAGATAAGATCCGTCTTAGGTAAAGCAAGGGTCTGGGAACAGATCCTGTCTTTGTTTTGGTCTGATGAGCTCATAACAAATACGTGTCGTGAAACCCTTAATAAACGTTAAAATGACTTGGACTGGACAGAAAAGTGACAGGTATTCCGTAAGTCCACTTTAATAAAAACGCATTTTGGGAAGACACAGATGTTTCCATAAGATCTGAGAAAATGAAAACCTTCCGTTCGATCTTCAGTTAAGGCACAATCACTGCCTTCGAAAACTGCTTTTAAAAGTTGTTATAGCCTTCTTCTTTTTATGTCACTGTGCTTAGCAAATCTTCAGATAATTCTTTTTCGCTTCCTTTCAATCTGTGATATTAAATCACTGGATTTTTCGAATGATAAGTGGTGATAAATCAGATCAAATTTTTTTCATCCTTAAATATCCTCAAAACAGAAATAATATACAGTTAGACCGCTAAAGAGATACGACAACAAATTCTGAGTGAGAATTACCATATCGAAAACTAATTTCTGAGTCCGGACGTCACGTTATTGGAAATCCAAACTTTTCTTCGAAGCTGTCGTCCTCCTTGATCTTAAAAACAACGATCTCTTTTTTTTTATGCCCTTTGCAACCAGCGATCAGGAACTCGGCTATGTGAAAAACAGAACTTCGAAGATGAAATCATTAATAGTGCACGCACCGTTCGGCCGGTTGTGATAATTAGTTTTTGCAAAGGGGCGTCAAGTAGGAATACACGGCAGAAAAAGACGAATAAAAGAAAAAGATAATAACATTTTTTAGTTGGAGGGTTGGTGAATGAATGAAAAAATAAAAAGGTACCCCTCACCGACTGCCAAAACAAGTTTGATAGAAACGCTTTCACTGTGAAACAATGCATTAGTCTACCACTGGTGGCGCTTGTTTTGAAATTGTGCCCAGTCTGGCGAATTTACCGAAATTCGCTCCAAAACCTTTTACACAACATGAGAAATGCAACGACGAAACTTCAGGTGAACAAAGAGACGAATGTGAGATATAATAAAATTTACCACAACGGATCGATCCTTCTAGGAATTGGTTGTAAATCAGGCGATGGTAACGTTAGTATTGTTCAGTGTTGTAATTAAAGTTAGATACTGTTAAGGAAAGCAGTTGGAATTCTGGTTACTACAGATTAATCCTCGAGTAAAGAGTGAGTCTTACTGCCGAATGGTGGCTTGAGGCTTTTTAAAAAATTTCTAATTACGAGAGGAAATGAAAAGATGTCGCCTGTATCGTAAAGATGCACATACTAAATACTGGTGGCACAAAATTCTCAAATGAAGATTTTCCTGAAAACCTATGCAACTATAGGAAATTCTTTGATTAAGTAGAGTCCTTACGGCTGCAAAATAAAGACTTTATTTACGTGTGGCACCAATTTCGCAATGAAAACATGAAGTGTCGTACTTTTTTTTTAAAGGCAGAAGCCATCCGCTTGTAAGCCGGCTGTGTCAATAAACTGAACCGAAGATGAAAAATTTTCACTGCTTTGCATTTCATTTAACCGGATGGTCTTACCGCTAATTTTTCGCAGGATTAGACCAGCTTAGAATTATAACTGAGGTAGAATTGAATAATCATGGCGCGGCAACATTAGAGAATTCACCGTAATGAGAGTGAAGATAAAATGGGCTGGCAATGGCAATTTCCAACGCTAGCTAGGTAAAATGAATAACGCGACAAACTTACCGGCCATGACTTCTCGCGTTTCAAGTTGAAGAAGGGCAAGCTGATTGCAAAATAAAAGAAAAAACGTTGATAATTTTTAATATTTTGAGAGAAGTGTAACGTGAGAAGACTTTTTCTTTAGGGGGTTAGTGCACTTTTATGTTACTCCACGTTTAGGTTATCGTGAATTAAGTTAAATTGAACCTTACCGTTAACAAAAGCAGCCCATACATTGTCCGGTTTGAGAGGAGAGGTTTTTCCATGTCAGTCTCTGATTTTAGAAACTGCAGATTCTGTTGGGAAATCACTTCATTTTCCCCGCGAATTTGAGATGATAAAATGTACTCACATATATTATGGCGAAGATCTGAGTGTTTCCCGTCTTCTATAGCATAGAACACAATCTAGAACACCAGGTGTCATATTGACATATTGACGTTTCAGCATTTGTAATAAGAGGAAAACAATGTAGATTTAATGAATTTGCATAAAATGAGTCAGCTATCTCCCTCGATATATGTGTTAACCGTCAAAAGCTACTCATCTCATTGGATGGTTCTATTGTGATTCCGTGCGTACGACACCTCGTTTCTCAGTTTACCTATTTCTTTCAAATGGAAACAAAATTTTCCGAAAGCTTGACTTTCCTTAAAAGCCTTCTGGCCAAAGTACGGGAACGAGTAATGCATTTTACTCGATGCCGGTGACACTTATTCTTCAATTTAACCTTCGATCCCCTGTGTTTACCCAGTCAAAAAAAGAGAAATACAAACCACAGTGTTTTCTAAAACAATTTCAACAATGTCAGAAATCTTCCAAAAAAAAGCCTCTCTTAAATAAATCGAGCAAGGAAAGAAAGAGAACCATTTTACGATATTACTTTATGTGGAAAATTAGCGAGAACAAAGGACAAGCGCGACTTCAAATGCTTTGTGATATCGGGTTCGTGAAAAATATACGAATTCTTTTTACGTATTTAGCCTTTTTCCCCGAAGAGCATTTATTTCTCCGTCTTTGCCTCTTTTTGATTCAAAACATTTAATTCAGTTTTTGATATACACGCGTTTTATCACAAGTGTATATTGCTAGTCTAGCACCCAAAGAAAACTCGCTCCTTCCGGTTTCAATACAATCCAAGCAACTATCTGGTTGAAAATTACGATGATACTCAGTAATAACACCACTTGGAAATCCCATTTCTTATTCGATCGAGCTAGTAAAGATAAAATGTAACAATAAAATAATCAAACGAAGATTCAGCTTCACTCACAACCTACTTCACGATGAACAATTAATCCTGAAGTTTGCAGGGGTTTTCATGTAACTATGGAAGCGCTGAGTGACGTCAGGACGGAGATGTAAAAAAGTGAAAAAGTTGACATAAGTTAAGCACACAAAGCTGCGAGAAAATTAACTGCTGTTTGATTCGAAAATAACTACTTGCATCGCTTTCGAACACACACAATAGGCATGTATCTACCTCATGGTGAAAACGTATTAGTCAGCTAGAGTCTGGATTAGGAAGTTAATTATTTTGCCGGCGAAACATTGTCATTATTTTGTTTAGAACTGAATTTACTTTTAGAATTGGGGGAAGCGCTTGCTTTACTTAGTATTACGTTAAGCTGAAGAAAAGTTTTAGGTCCCAGTCTTCTTCATTTCATTATTATTTATCTTTTTATTTCTGTGCCTGATTATCACGGACAAGCTTTTTTCTGTCTGCCAGTTTTTGTTTTTCTTTTGTAGCAGCAAAAGAAGGCAAACAAATAAACGTGAGTGTTAAAACCCTCAGGGCTCCAGAGGTAAATAACCAGTTTGGAATTAACTCTTTTTTCTATCATGGATTCTGAGACAAAAAAAATGAACAACACTTTATTCATTCTTAGAAGTTGCAAATTTAGGAAAGCTTTGTTACATCTGAGCCTGCAGAAATCGAGTAATTAAAACTTCCTTTCGATTCAAGACCTACGATATTAGGCTATGAATAATCTCACCGTGCAGCTGTACGCTTGGCAAAGATAATTAATTCAGGAGACAATTTTGGCTTAATTCACCGGACAAAAAAAGGACCTTTATTGTCTGAAGGATTTTTCTTAGGAAAATGATTAGTAAAAAGTAAGAAATTCACCACGCGCGCAGAAAGAGTCATGCAACACAAAGTCAAATACACGAACTCGATTCCTATTTTCTCATTTTTTTGCATCCGCAGCAGCTGAAACACAAAGATGGAGCCATATCTCTAAACAAATTAAGGATTGAAGTTAAGAAACCTTACCTAAATAACATCTTTCTTTGTATGCATTAATGTCGTAGTGGTTAAACTAATGAACCATTAGCCTAGCCTTGGTCTCCACTTAAAAATGTGCTGAAAGAATAGTATATGTTTGGATATAGGGGAAGTCTGTCTCGCATAACGTGTGCGACTTTACTGCAGTACTTACCCCGTTAAGAGCCCTGGGGCTAATACTTCGCCGAAAGGATTTCTCGGTGGGCCTATCTCTGAAGAGGCGGCTTCTAATTGGGATTTAAAGAAAGACAGGCGTTTGAAAACAAGCTGATAACAACCCGTTCTATGTTTCATCATAATAACTCTACAATCAGTGTACAAAAACGAAACTGGTTAGGATGCAGTAGCAGACCCCAGTCTTAGTTCTCAAGCAAAAGGTGAATCAAGCTCACAGATGAACCTGAATAGGACTAAAAATGTTTTTGACGGACAATCTGTCAATGTCCTTCAGCTACTGAACACTATCCGTAAGAAGTTCTTTTATCGGATATTTCACACACTTCCGACAAATTTCTTTAAGTAATTAATTTTTTCCCGACAACTAGAATCCTCAAGGAAATTTCTATAAATCGCTAAAAAAAAAATTGAACAAAATTTCACCAAAGAACAGTCATCACAGATAGAGTTATGTGAAATTGTTTTCATCCGGGATTTATGAGCGCAGAAAACGGCCCGAGACCATTGGGGTTATGAATGTTTGTCCCGATCTACTTGGTTGAGGCAGAAGAGTTGATTACTGTGGATTTCAAAGGTGCCAAACTTGACACTGAAAGCATCAGAGGAAAAAAAAAACACATCACAAGTGCAAAAAACTTCAGAAAGAAAGGTGACTTTTTAGACAACAAAGGAAGTCTCTAAATTCTAGTTCGTTAGCATTATCCTGTGTGAGTTTGAGTACATATTTGTTCACTTAACAGTGAATTTTAACTCGCTTGATCGTTTAATGAGAGGCACCAAGACTCTGGACCCTTCTCTTTTTATTCTTTCCTCAAGAGCTACTACAGCTTCGACTACCATGCTTCAGATCTTTTCTTCTCTCTCTTTTTCCTTCTACTCTAGCGAGAGGTACCAACGTTTTAAGTAGGAAATCCGTAGACATGTTTGGGTTAGCTGACTGTGAGAGTTTCCTTAGTGTATCCGTTTATTTTGCAAAAAAGGGGGAAACTGGTGGGCCCTCACCGAAGTACTCGTCGAGTGCCAAGGAACCAATTGGACGCTAACAGCTGAGCGCGGGAATCGCGCACGCAAAGAAGAACTTCAGTGTGGGTAGAACTCAACGTCAGCTTTACCAACGCAAACACGACCACCTGTGAAACTGTCTAACTGTTTAAATGTCTAACACGGTAACAAGGAAATACGCGAGCTGAGCCAAAAACATATAAATCTACCAAAACAACAGGTAGGCGCAAAAGGCAAAGCTTAACAAAACAAAAGGCTTAACTGGAAAAGTCTCAAAACAACAACTTCCAATTCACCTCACAACACAATATTTCCTGCTTTATCCATTAAATCATTTAGGCCTGGTTCAAAAGCTGAACTCTTCATGAGCCGCATCAATGTCTTAAATAATGAGGACGAAAAGTTCTGCGTCTTACCTCAATTAGGAACAGCTTCTCCAATTCGAAGCGGAGTAGGCGTTTTTCTCCGCCCGGTTCGAGCGGGAATTTTGCCTCTAAAACGGTTTTGGAACGATTTCGATTTAGACGCCGAACATCTTATCTGTTAAACCAAATGCGTAAATCGTAATCGCGTATTTTGACGCGGTTTTCTTTTCGGAATTTTGAGGGGTGTGGATTATTAAGTTCGGGGTGTAATCAACAAGCGTACTCTTTGCAATTTGAATATATCAACAAAGTTGAAATGGTAAATTGGCCACCGTTACGATTACAAAAGCTGACGTTTCGAGCGTTAGCCCTTCGTCGGAGTGAATAGCAGAATTGTGGGTTGTGTGTGCTTTTAAAGGCAGAAAAAGGAGCTACGTGATTGGTGGGAACATGGCAACGAGAAAAACACG